TTTAAAAATCAAGCAACTTGATCTTTATAGTTGTATTTTTTTAAAAGATTACGTGCTAAATTTTGAACTAATTAGTCTTATGATAATTAAATAAGAATTTAAAATAAGCAAAAGATAACAAAAAAATTCAAACATAATCGATAACAATGAAACTTGCAAACCGTCTGAAGTATTTAGACAATTTGAACAAAATATATAACAGAAATAACAAAATAAAATGTATAAGAGAAAGTACAATACAAAAATAGCCAATTCAAACCATGATTTCTCCCTCACAATAAGAATTGTTGCTCTCTCATGGTGAAATCTCAAATTATATTTACAAAAAACTTGAACACAATCTAATTACAAAATACAGAGGTAGAACGTAAAATAAGAGAATAGATTATAACAAAAAATTATGATTAGATCCACTCACTTTCTTTCACAACTAATAAAATAATTATTTTTTAAAAAAATAAATTCACTATTAGATATCAAAAAAATATAATTATAATTTAAGATTATAATTTGAGAACACGATAAAAAAGTTAGAGTAAATCTAAGATTGTTAAAAAAATATACTAGATAATAAAAAGTGAGATATAACTCATATATATATATATAAAGTAAGCATCTGTTTAAATTTATATAAAATATAAAATAATTTTATAAAACAAGACATGTTGTAACGTGAAACAAAGAGATGAATCAACATGCTGTAAGACAAAATTGAGCAACAAGTTATAGTTGATAAAGTGATAATGAATACATACAATTAGTTTAAATAATAAAAATACTTTAAAATAACCGTCCTAAATGGGAAAATTGGAAAGGAAATGCATGATATAGAAAGAGAGAAATATGGCTAACTAGTTTGAGAAATAATAATAATAATAATAATAACAAACAAAAAAAAAGTTTGGGAGAGGAACTGATTTTTTTTATAAAAAAAAAAATCAAATGCACGGAATTTTATGTAGATTTTTTTATCCATATTTAGATTTAATTATTTTAAGACATTCACTCTAAATTGTTAAATATATGTATATATGTATATATATTGAATTATACTCATTGGTAGATACTAAATTTTAGAATATTTAAAAATTATCATATAATTATTCAAATTAAAAAAGTAAAAGTATTTAACTAATTGAAAAAAAATAATTACAACAACACAAATTTATTAATTAATTTGGCTTAACCCAACTTTCTCTTTTCTTTTTCTTTTTTTTAAATAAATAAATTTTATTCATCTAGCTTATTCTATAAATAAAGTTCTTTATTTTCATTCAAGAGTTCTAAAAAATTGATTATAGAATATGTAGCGCCCGGACCGAGAAAAAAAAAAAAAGCCACGTCGGCAGCCACGTCAGTAGGCCCGGTCAGCAGTCCCGGCCAACCGGGGCCTGCCACGTGGCAAGACCACGTCGCTCCGGAACGGGCCACGTTGGCGATCCGCGTGGGCACGATCGGACGGTCCAGATCAATCGCGCGATCGGACGGCCCAGATACAATCGCACGGACGGCCCAGATTCAATAAAAAACGAACGGCCCAAATTAAAACAAAATGAACGGCTGAGATCAAAAGGCAAGAGGTTATAAATAGAACCCCCCACACCAGACCACAAACCCTAGCCGCCTGCCGCTCGCCAGAGAAGACGAACCAGAGGCCGACTGCCGCCACCCGCCGCCGCACCGAAGAAATTTCCGACCGCCGATCGAGGTAAATTTCATACCCCCGACTCGTTTTTCCACGCTGATTCCTCCTGTGGCCAAATCGAAGCCAAAATTCCGGCCAAACGGCCGGAATACGCGGCCGAAGACCAGCGGCGCCGCCGCGCCCCCTCTCGATTTTTGCCTCCGACGAGGCCCTTCCCGGCCTCCGTTTGATGCAATTTTTTTATCACCGTGATCACCATTCTTTTCTCTATAGGTTGACCGGAGCCGAATCACCAAACCACGAACCTCGCCGGAGAGCCGCCGCACCCGAGAGCGCCGCCGCCGGTAAGCTCCGTTTCTCCGTGATTTTTTGGCCCCCCGAGGGCCCTAGGGTTGTTTTCTCGCAGGGACCGATGCGAGTGTGGCCGAATTCGGCCGGAAACGGCCGAAAACAGCCAACCCGAGGCGAATCGCCGCTGCAAGCGGCGGCGCCGTCGCCGGAGCACGGCGGAGCCGCCGTGCCGGAGTTGCGATATTGGCCAAAAAGGGGGCCTGAGCCTAATTTGAGATTTTTTGGAACACGTGCAGGTACCGTTAGTGTGTTTCAGTTCCCCGAAAAAAATTCAGGAAAAATTAGGGACGGCCTGTAGGCGCACTGTGAATCGTATTCGGATCCCGAAAACAAGTAAGGACCCCTCACCCTATCTCCTATCACGGTATTAAAGTTCAAAATGATAAAACGGTATCTCTTGAATTAACGCATGTGTGAAATTGCTTAAGGTTGCTAATGGAGCCCGAGTCTAGTGTGATTGATGATTTACTGTTATTTGGCCTGTTTCACAGCTTTAAATGCATTATGAGGTTTGATGTGTTCATTTTATAGTTTCGAGTGCATATATTACTGTTTTATTAATTATGGGTTGAAAGACTAAAGAACTGATACTGTATGTTGTCTGTTTGGCATGAATTACGATTTGCTTGTTTAAATATGAATTGATGATGCTTATTGAGGAAAAGAAAAATGAAAGATTGTGTACACTGATAATTGTATGATGGGGTCAGCCTGACTAGATATCCTGGGAGATGGTGGACGGACCGGGTCCGTAGGGAACCCTACTGGGATTGTGGTCTCACATGCCGGACGGCGTATGGAGATCTCATGGTTTTGGTGCCCATACCGGACGGGGTATGGGGACGACCCTGGAAACTGATTATGAATGTTAAAGGTTAACGGGTAGCGGGACCCCTATGGACCCCCATGGATACTAGTAGGCTGGTAAATGAGAAAAGGATATGTGGTATAATGATTGAATTACAAAAGGCGTGATAAGTGCTATGTTTTACAGCTTATATTATTCCATGATTGTGATAATATTATTGTTTTCTTATATTGTTTCATGAATTCCACCGAGGTAAGTGGATGGTAAAGGTTTTATCATGAATAAAAGGATTTGTTGTAAATCATGCTTCGTTGGTCTTTTGTGTTTTTCTACCCACCTTTACCTCCGTGACGGTGAGATATCGTGATGTTCTTACTGGGCTAGTGTAGCTCACTCCTTATTTAACCATTTCAGATCAGGAAGATATGGTTCCCGAGCCCGTTCCGCAGGAGGACGACGAAGGGAATGCCTAGAGATTCTGTAGTCATACTCATAGTTTTATTTTCAAGTTTATCTTTTAGTTAGTTTAATCTTTTATATTTTAAGTACGTTTTTTGTTTTCGTATAAGCGATGTTAACTGAAATTTTGATCTCGCTTCCACATTTTATGTGTTTAAATACTCATTTCATTTTCACATTTCCGGGGTCGTTACAGTTGGTATCAGAGCCGCATTTCCTCGGACCCATCCCTTACACAATAGTGCCTTAGAGTAATACTCACCGATATGTCGTTACTCAATCATTCCTTGTGAAAACGAGTACACGGGAATGAGGAGAGGAAGACCCCCACTAAACCAAGCGGCCCAAGATAATTCGCTTCGGGAGGATTTAGACAGACTATTTGAGATGGTGGAGGCTCTCGTAGCTGCCCAGCAAAGGCAAGAGGAGAGAAGGGAGTTACCCGGACCTCCTCCGCTAGCGCAGGTTGAGCCCCCGCTACAACAGGCTGATCCCGAGCCACCCCGGCAGGAGCCT